AAAAAATTAAAACAAAAAAATCACAACGGTCCCCCCTCCCCCATTGTCAACGAAAAAAGCTCGAGTGGAGCCCACTCGTCCCACAAAAAGTAAAGATTCTCGTTCTCACATCCTAGCTAAGGCGTTATCTCGTAGTGGGTTGCTCGTTTCGACTCCAAATCACCAAATCTTTTACTTTCCAAAAACCTTAAATCGAGATATTCCAACTTAGTTTTTGTTAAAACTCGTATAAAAAATGCATATTAGTTATTTTTAATGTGTTCTATGTTGTTATGTGATTGTTTTATGATTTAACTAATTTGTTATTTTTATCTGAACTATGATATTAGTGTGCTAAAAAAATTAGTAAAAATAGAGAAATTATTATTAGTCATTAAAAAAATATTAATTAGTTACTTTTTACTGTGGTATATGTATTTTCATGAATGTTTTGTGATTAAATTTATTTGTTATTTTTATCCGATTTAGATTATTTATTTGCTTAAAGACTAGTAAAATAGATAAATTATAACTTTAGTTTCCTCTAGTGGTATCTTGTGGTCTAATGTAGTGCTTGTATTTATAATGTAGTGCCCTTTTGGCGTAGTAAAATATAGTGCCCTTTAGCGTAGTGTCTTTGTAGTTATTGAAATTAATCATTTAAGTATCTCTTATATCCAAAAATACACCAAAAAAGCTGATAGTTCAAACACAAACTCTGTCCAATTCTAGTCAACGATCGTAAGAAAATAACATGAGAAAACAACAACATTTTTCGGACTAAGTATGAGAAAATAACAATATTTTCAGGATACCTTGGTGCTACTGGGCCTCAAATATCGAGCCCGGAACCCATATGTGAATATTTAATAATTAAATCTTGTATAATTATAAAAATTAATTATTTAATTTTATTATAGTAAAAAATAAGTGAGTAATAAACAGACATATAAAATAATAAAACTAACATGTAAAATAATAAAACTAACATATAAATTAATAAAATTAACATCTACAATATTAAACTAATATATAAATAATAAACTAACATTTAAAATAACAGACATATTGAGTGATAAATCGAAAAATATTTCTCATCATAAACACAAGAATACAGGATACCTTGGTCCTACTGGGCCTCAAATATCGAGCCCGGAACCCATATGTGAATATTTAATAATTAAATTTTGTATAATTATAAAAATTAATTATTTAATTTTATTATAGTAAAAAATAAGTGAGTAATAAACAGACATATAAAATAATAAAACTAACATGTAAAATAATAAAACTAACATATAAATTAATAAAATTAACATCTACAATATTAAACTAATATATAAATAATAAACTAACATTTAAAATAACAGACATATTGAGTGATAAATCGAAAAATATTTCTCATCATAAACACAAGAATACAGGATACCTTGGTCCTACTGGGCCTCAAATATCGAGCCCGGAACCCATATGTGAATATTTAATAATTAAATTTTGTATAATTATAAAAATTAATTATTTAATTTTATTATAGTAAAAAATAAGTGAGTAATAAACAGACATATAAAATAATAAAACTAACATATAAATTAATAAAACTAACATATACAATATTAAACTAACATAGAAACAATAAACTAACATTTAAAATAACAGACATGTTGAGTGATAAATCGGGAACATTTTCTCATCATGAACACAAAAATTCACGATACCTTGGTGTTACTGGGCCTCAAATATCGAGCCCGAAACCCATATGTGAATATTTAATAATTAAATCTTGTATAATTATAAAAATTAATTATTTAATTTTATTATAGTCAAAAATAAGTGAGTAATAAACAGACATATAAAATAATAAAACTAACATATAAATTAATAAAACTAACATATACAATATTAAACTAACATATAAACAATAAACTAACATTTAAAATAACAGACATGTTGAGTGATAAATCGGAAAATATTTCTCATCATAAACACAAGAATTCAGGATACCTTGGTGCTACTGGGCCTCAAATATCGAGCCCAGAACCCATATGTGAATAATTAATAATTAAATCTTGTATAATTATAAAAATTAATTATTTAATTTATAAACAAACATATAAAATAATAAAACTAACATGTAAAATAATAAAACTAACATATTAAAGTAAAATAATATAATTAATATTGTTTAATTTACAGTAGACGACATGGAGGTTCCGCCTTTGCTTCCCGGACCTGCCAGGCTGGAGCTACTGTTGTTACAGGGCGATCATAGGTCGTCCCACATATGGGAGTGACAGTTACTGACCCAGACGTTCCGCGTCAGGAGAGTAGACGATATATGAGGCTTTCTCAGGGACCACCCTCTCCACCCCCGTATAGTCAGACGCCTCCAGGATACGGATTTTTATAGGATTGTGGAGATCGGTCGGCTGCAGCTGGATTGGTTGTTGATCACGACCCTCGACTCAAGAACAGTGAAAAAAATATAATAAACAAACAGTAACAATGATAAGGAAATAAAATACCAGAAACAAATAGCACAACCTGTAATAGCAAAGGAACTAGGAATACGAAGCAAAAAGAGAAGTGTGAAAACTACCGACAATAATACCACATCGTTTAACAACAAGGAACTCAGAATAAGAGAATACAAGACTAGTACTACTACCACTAGTACGACTAGAAGAGACTCTTGACTACTTGTCAACCCACAACCCTAATCCCCAACCTTCACACCTCCCTATCGAGGGTCATGTCCTCGGTAAGCTAAAGTAGTGCCATGTACTGCATAATCACCTCTCCCTAGTACTTCCTAGGCCTGCCTCTACCTATCCTCTACCCCGCTATGGTCAACCTCTCACATCTCCTCACCGGGACATCGGTGTCTCTCCTCTTCACATGCTCGAACCATCTCAGCCTCGATTCCCGCAGCTTGTCTTCCACAGGGGCCACACCCACCTTGTCCTTAATAACTTCATTCCTAATCCGGTCTTTCCTGGTATGCCCACACATGTATCTCAATATCCTCATCTTTGCTACTATCATCTTCTGCACATGAGATTTCTTGACTGGCCAGCACTCGGCTTTATACAACATAGCCAGCCTCACTACCATTTTGTAGAACTTGCCCTTAAGTCTTGGTGACACATTCCTATCACATAAAATACCAGACAAAAGCCTCCATTTCATCCACCCCGCTCCAACACGATGCGTAACATCCTCATTAATCTCCCCGTTCCCCTGAATAACAGACCCAAGATATTTGAAACTATCTCTCTTGGGGATGACTTGTGTATCAAGTTTCACCTCCACTTCTGTTTCCTGCATCCCCACACTCAAGTTGCACTCCAAGTATTCAGTTTTTCTCCTACTCAACTTGAAACCTTTAGACTCCAGGGGCATGCCTCCACAACTTCAGCTGGTCGTTAACCCCGCAACATGTCTCATCGATTAGCACTATGTCATCTGCAAATAACATATACCGTGGCACCTCCCCCTGAATGTGGCTTGTCAGCACGTCCATCGCTAGGGCAAATAAAAATGGGCTAAGAGATCAATCCTGATGTAACCCCATCATCACAGGAAAATAGTCCGAGTCTCCTCCCACGGTCTTCACCCGAGTCTTCGATCTATCGTACATATCCTTTATCACCCCAATGTACGCTACCGGAACACACTAACCTCTATAATTCTCCATAAAACCTCACTTGGGATTTTATCGTAAGCTTTTTCTAATCGATGAACACCATATGCAAGTCCCTCTTCCTCTCCCGGTAGTGCTTCACTAACCTCCTCGCAAGATGAATGGCTTCTGTGGTCAAATGCCCGGGCATGAAACCAAACTGATTCTCCAAAATAGACGAACTCCTCCTCACCCTCCTCTCCACCACCCTTTCCCACACTTTCATAGTGTGACTCAGTAGCTTAATACCCATGTAGTTATTACAATTTTAGATATCACCCTTGTTTTTGTACAACGAGACCATCAAACTCCACCTCCATTCTTCACGCATCTTCTTAGTCCTAAAAATGAGATTAAACAGTCCAGTAAGCCACTCTAAGCCTACTCATCCCATAACCTTCCATAATTCTACCGGGATCTCGTTTGGCCCAGTCGCCTTGCCTCTACTCATCTTCCGCATTACCTCCTTAACCTTAATATGCCTACAAAACCTAAAATCGCGTCGGTTCTCTGAGTTCTCCAACTCGCCAAGAATAATATTCCTGTCCTCTTACCCGTTCAAGAGATTGTGGAAGTATGACTGCCACCTGTGCCTAATGCACGCCTCTTCCATCAATACCTTGTCATCCTCGACTTTGATGCACACCACTTGGTCCAGGTCCCGAGCCTTCCTTTCTCGAACCTTGGCTAACCTGAACAGTCTCTAGTATATTTTCGCTTAACATCTCAAAAAAATTAAAGTACATCTTTACAATTTCTAGAAGCAAAATTGTTTAGAAAATAATTTATAGTAATGCTATGTTCTTTTTTTCTTTTTATGAAAACTTTTATTTTAACAATTGACAATTTATACAAAATCTTTTATGTGTTTGACTTAAAAGCTATTGAGAAATGTTTCAAAATTTTATGTATTCAACTTAAAGAAGTTTTGCCCTATTATTTTTATTTAATAGTAGTCACTAACAATTACACTTTCAATGCAAGTATGAATTGATACTTGCAAAATACGGTAAATAATCTGTTACGTATAATATAAAAATATTAATAGTGTAAAAATAATATGTTCCTATAGAAAAAAAAAAAAAAAAAGGAAAAAGAAAGGTGATGGTGACTTCCTATTTTGGGGACAAAATCACTTGTACTGAATTCTTGATACATCACTTTCGTCATTCATTCATTCATCTATTTATTCATATTATAATTCACCAAGTTGAGAAGTTAACAAATAAATCTGCTGGCACTTATTATGATATTTCCTTCCTTTTCATTTCCTTCTTGTGGACGACGGAAGTACGTAACCCATTCCCATTCGTGGTTCTTTTGGACAAATGTGACGGAAATATGTGTTTAAAAAAAAGAGTAATATTTTTATATATAGCGCTCTTTTAAAGAGCGCTATACTTTAATGGAGTATATACCTATGGATTTCAGGCTCGATATTTGAGGTCTAGTAGCACCAAGCTATCCTGAATTCTTATATGTGTCAATTTTAATATTTTCATAATTTTGTATGTTTGTTCTGTAAATTAAATAATTAATTTTTATCATATTTAATTGGACAGAGTATATATCTATGAGTTCCAGTCTCGATATTTGAGGCCCAATAGCATCAAGCTATCCTGAATTCTTATGTGTGTCAATTTTAATATTTTCATAATTTTGTATGTTTGTTCTGTTAATTAAATAATTAATTTTTATCATATTTAATTGGACAAAGTATATACCTATGGGTTCCAGGCTCGATATTTGAGGCCCAATAGCACCAAGCTATCCTGAATTTTTATGTGTGTCAATTTTAATATTTTCATAATTTTGTATGTTTGTTTTATAAATTCAATAATTAATTTTTATCATATGGACAGAGTTTGTGTTTGATCTATCAGTATAAAAGATACTTAAACTACTTGGATTCTACGCTAAAAGGCTCTACATTTTATTACGCTAAAAGGGCACTAGTCTTTAAGCAAATAAATAATCTAAATTAGATAAAAACAACAAATATATTTTAATCACAAAAACAAATACAAAACACTAATATCTTACTTCGGATAAAAATAACATACTAGTTTAATCGCGAAAAAAATACAACAACAACAGGAAAACACATTCAAAATNATATATATAACGCTCTTTAAAAGAGCGCTATACTTCAACGGTCAAAAATTCGTTAAAGTATAATAATGTCACTATATTTTTTAAAGACACATTTCCGTCACACTTGTCCAAAAGAACCACAAATGAGTTCTGGACTCNGGATTCCTATAGAGCATCCAGGAAAAAGCAGATTCAATCGGACGACGAATTCTTACGTGGTCCAAGGAAATCAAAGGTCCGCTCCCACGAATTTNGATTCAATCGGACGACGAATTCTTACGTGGTCCAAGGAAATCAAAGGTCCGCTTCCACGAATTAAATCTATATTAAATCTCTTAATATCAGAATAGCTTATATAGTCATGATTCAATTCAGGTCCATTTTGATTGATTTCTCATTTTTCGGATCGGCAACTGGAATCGATCTGAATGAAGCTTCAAGCCTAGTTCTGGGGCTTCTCCTATACCACGCCTATATGGAAGGAAGATTAGGTGGGGAAGGAAAGGGGTCAGCGCCTCGTTCCTTCCTTGCGGAGGAGTTAAAGGAGTTTCTCTGTTACTTTTCTTCTCTTTTCTGTCTTCGTGTCTTTCTTGTGTTCTAAAACCTACTTCCTTTATTACATGACATTCGTAAATTATACTATATTCATTTTAATTTAGATGAGTTAATTTGACTCGGCACGAAGTTTAAGAAAAGAAAAAAAGATTTTTGAAATTTGTGATCTTAAAAGCTTAAGGGATAAAAGCTTTATGGGGCCATGATATTTATGTGGTTATAAAAGCTTTTCATTAAGGATAAAATGAGTAAAATAAAAAATTTAAAATTAAATTATTTTTAAATTTAAAAATATGTCATTTATTTTGAAATATGGTAGAAATAAAATTAACACGTATAATTTGAAAGAGGGAGAGAGTACATACTTTCCCGAAAGTAGTACGTATTAAGTCTATTTTTATATCAAGAAAAGTGAATGGGATGATGGTGGGTATGATGACACTTCCATTTTGGGAAAGTCTTCTTTTGGCTTTTCTCTTTTGGACAATCACTCCTCAGGAACCTTGTTAATTGTCTTCAACTTATAATGATGATAAAAACTTATTCGTATTAGATGTTATACTAAATTAGATGAATATACTAGGGTTAAGTAACTGTAACGTAATAACCTAATATATATTAATTAATTATGATTAAATGACTAAAATATATACAGACACATATCATGTATATATTTACTTGGCGTAAACAACGTAAATTTTTACCCATAGGCACTATCAACTCCAAACTTTCTTCAACCTCTTTGCCTCCGCCTCCCTCATGTGAGTATATTTAAGATAAACCAAACAAGTTTCTAAGTAGACAATATTTTTAAAATAGAAGTTGAAAAATAGTATCTACCAATTAAGATGTGTCTGGATATACATTTTATATTACATGGAAAGAGTTAAATACTGTGAATGAAAATCATTATTGCACTAGAAATGCTCCTCAAACAATTTTTTTAAATATCACTAATACTTCTAATAGTAAATTTCAATATTTGCAAATATTGATGAGCAAACCAATATTTGAAAATACTAAATTTTAATATTTGTAAATACTGAAATACTATTATATAGGGAAAACGGAGTATATACAAATATCTGCACTGGCTTACAAAAAAAAAAAACGATAAGAGCGAATAAACCTTCAAATTATAATTAAATTTTAAGATTATTTAACTTTCAAACGGAGATGTCAACGTCAGGGGCAGATTTAGGGAAATTACACTGTATATATAAGGTAAAATATATTTTTTACCTCTATATATTATGTTTTGAATTCCTTGACATATTCAAAAATCATAGCTTAGTAGTCAACGAGGTTCAAAACCTTTGTAAGGTCATTGGTTCAATTCCCACTAGCTACAATCTTTTTAATTTTTAATTTTTTTTTTTGAACACTCTTAGCAAATATCCTGTCAAAAATTGATAAAGTTAACCTGGACACTTTGAATACCAAAAAAACAGGTGTGAAGAAGCATAAGAAGATGGAGGATTTTGAAGAATATTTAAAAGAGTTTTGGGAATCATAATCACGATTATTAGTACTTTTTTCCTCATCCGATGTTTACTTTTGAAACTTTCTATGTTTGGAAAGATTCAAGAAACTTATATCTTATATTATATTGATAAGGTGGTGAAGGTGGCATGTCAACCTCAATCTATTAGGGCCATTCTTTTCCCTTTGGTGGTGGTCCTTATTAATTCACAACACTATGGTCTGACCTTATTAAGATAAGTACTAGTACTTTTCTCATTACTATATTAAATGATGTCAAGTGCACCACTTCTGTAATACACCAAGATAACGATAGGGAAACAAGATTACTTCCCTCCGTTCCTAGTTTGACCGAGTATAATGTTTTGAAATACACAAAAAAAAAAATCTTGTGGTCTTAAATTATGAGGGGATAACATACTAAAATGTCGGATTGAATTTGTGATAATTAACGTGCCATGTTTTGAGAAAGTGTCATTAAAGGGAAATCTTATAGTTGATTGACTACGTAAATTTTTACCTTATTGTATGAGTTCGATTTCCGATCTTATAATTTCCTTCCCAATTTTTCTCTTTCTCTACCCATATAATAGGAAAATAACAACAATAACAACCCAGTATAATCCACTAGTAGGGTCTGAGGAGGATAGTGTGTACGCAGACCTTACCTCTACCCTAGGGTAGAGAGGCTGTTTCCGATAAACCCTCGGCTCCCTCCCTCCAAGAACTCCCCACCTTGCTCTTGGGATGACTCGAACTCACAACCTCTTGGTTGGAAGTGGAAGGTGCTAACCACTAGGAAAACAAAATACTAGAATTAAAAATTTAACCAAATATAAAAGTGTGGTTCTTTTTTAAACATACTAAAAGGAAATTAACACTACCCATACATTGAAAAAGAGAGAGTATGTAATATTCCTAATCGAGATTTTGTTGGTCAAACGTATAACAACAGCATGCTAAATTCTCCCTTTTGTCCGTCATACACAGAAAAAAGAAGTTATATTACAGGGAAATGTATTCACCTTTTTTGTTTTTTGATTTTGACACAACTCGATTAAAAACTTATTTCATGCAATGTAATAATTTACTCCATGTTATATGCCATATATAAAATCATCAAGTATGCATAAGATCCACATTTATATTATATATCCGTCGGTATTTTTAATTTAAACGGTTGAATAGACAACTATTTGAATTAATTTGAGCTCAGATTAAAAATTGCTGAGCCCAGCTCTATGTCCAGTCCACTCCTCAAAAATCAGATATCTATCATTGTGTTTGGGCTGAGCATCCCCATTATATACAAGAGGAAGGAAACAGCACAGCTTGCCTAAGTTTTTGCCCATTTAAAAATTATTTACAATTTCTACCCATTTGATCCACCTTTATTTCCTGGCTACCCATTCCTCTTTCTCCCTTGAATTTAGTTTACCCAACATACCAAACAGTGCATTTTCCTTTTTAATTAATTCCCCTAACTTTTTCTTTGTGAAAAAGTATGAAATCCAATCAATAATTCAATAAGTTATCTTTGCTCATGTTGCGGTGCATATTTTGCTTTCCCATTTGAAGTACAGAATGTTAAAACTTCCAGTTTCATTTCTGCAAA